ACACAGAGAACAACTCCCAGCAGCCTGATCTGACCAAGCCACTGGCTGCCTAACCCACACAGGGGCCTCCCCTCAGGCTACAAATGTTTGGAGGACATTTGATTTAAAAAAAAAAAAAAAGCAAGATTAGGGAAAAACACATGCCTTCCTCCTTCCCCCAGTGCTATTCAATGTGGGGGCCTGAGACATGTCACCCACAGTTCGGAGGTAAGCAGGGCAGAGACCACTGACTTCAGAAAGAAGACATTTGGGGGGAAAGAGCTTCCAAGGGAGGAGGATTGTACACCGAGTGGTGGAAGGAGGTTCGAGCAAACTCTCCCAGCTCTTTCTGCAGGAGCTGACGTGGCTCTGAGGGGCAGAGACCTGGGCACACCATACCCTAGAGGTCCTCAGAGCCTCTCCGGGGCCCCAGTGGGTCGGCAAGCTCAAGCAACCCTTTGGGCACATGGCCTTCCTTTCCAAGTTCTGTGGTTAACTTCTGGAAACCACCCAAGCTGGCAATGGGGCACTCCAGAGCTCTTGAGAAGCGTTGCAGAAAGATTACTCTGGAAATGGCTTGGGAAACAGTCCCGATGGGGAGGAGACCAGACACATGCAGGGAGCCATGGAAATAGCACCAGCGTGACTCAGACCCGGAAGGAGACTGGGGCCGGGAGGCGTGACAGGTCACACTGGAGGGCTGGAGAGACAACAGTCCCGAGCAGGCACAGGGAAGGAGGGAGCAAGGGCAAGGTGCGGCTCTGAGCCCAGCAAACAGCTCGTGGGCAGGTCAGAGCCCCGGCATGGGGAGTTGGAGGTCAAAAGGCCTGACCCTAACCCTAGGTGCCTCCTCTTGGGAGGTGTGCCCTCCTAGGAAGTGTGGAGAGCAATAGCAGGGGATGGTGGCTTAGACCAGGGTCAGCCACTAGAGGCCTGGAGCCAAGCCCAGTCCACCCACTAGAAAATGGCTGCATCGCTGTGGCTGCTTGTAAATCCTAAAATACTACTGACCTTTTATGGAGAACATTGCTGGCCCCTTGTTTGAACTGTGTGGGCAGCTTCTTCCCCATTATCTTTGGGGAGCTTTTATTTTTTTTAATATATATTTTTATTGATTTCAGAGAAGAAGGGAGAGGGAGAGAGAGATAGAAACATCAATGATGAGAGAGGATCATTGATTGGCTGCCTCCTGCACGCCCCCACTGGGGATCAAGCTCACAAAACGGGCATGTGCCCTGACCGGGAATGGAACCATGACCTCCTGGTTCATTGGTTGATGTTCAACCACTGAGCCACACCATCCAGGCCTTGGGAAGCTTTTAAATCCCCAGGTCCACTAAGCCTCCTCCCTAGGATGAGACCCAGCATCAAGCTCCTGGGCTGAGTCCTATGGGCAGGGGTTCGAGAAGCCCTGGTGGAGGGGTGGAGCTGCGGCAGCCCCACACATGGGCTGGTCATCAAAAGGTCTGACACATCTGGTCAGGAGGGGGCCATGCTCCTCCATGATCCCAGGAGCAGAGGGTAACAGTTGACCTTGAACTGGACTGAACAACTGAGTAGAAGGAAGGGAAGAGCAGCGCCAGGGCCTTTGGAGGGCAGGGGCACACATGGAGGGCCTGGGGAGCCCATGACCACTCTGAACAGGACAGGTCCCCAAGTCTCCCTCTGGCCAGGAGAAAGGCCACACGTGCCAGGACCGGCCTTTGGAGGAGAACTTGCCGCCTGCTTGGAGAGGACAACAGGGAGCCTCAGGCCAGCAGCAGGGACCTGGCCACTGGCCACTCAGGGCCTCATGCTACAGCATCCAGAATGCACCTTCTCCTCCCATGGTTCTCAGAGGACCTCAACCACCCTGCAGGACGTTAACTGTGCTGTTTGCTTTCCAGTGTTCTCCTGCTTCTCCTGCTTCTCCTGGCTACTCTGTCCCTTCTTTGACATTTGTATGCAGTTTGAGAGCCCGTGGTTAGTTAAACCAGCAAATCTGCACAGAGCTGGAGTGACACAGCCAGACGAAGGGAGCCGCGTGCCCTCCTGGGTCTGAGAGAGGACGGCATGCCGTGGGGCACTTTGCTACTCCTGGCATTTCATGCGGCTAGAAATAGAAATGAAATCACCCTGCAGATGTCCTTGGCCCGGGGACCGTGGAGTTTCTTGGCCAACGCAAATGTAGTGCACTAGCTTTTTATTGCAGCGATTAAGTCAATCAAAGGCTCATCAGATAGGCCACAAAGAACTGGACTAGTGAATTGTAGGACTGTTGTGTGTCAAAGACAACAAGTCGGCAGCTGTGATTCCAGAATAAATACAATACATTAAGATGTCAAAGCTAGCTCAAAACAAAGTCTCACCCTGGCACAGAGGGCAGACGTGACAGGGAGAACTGTAAGAACCCAGACATTCGGATTTTAACTAGGGACGCAGGCACGGTGGGATCCGCAGATGAGCAGAGTGAAGCCAGGCACATCAGCCAGTGCTCCTGCTTACCTCCGTCTGGTAGACGTCGGGCAAGTATCCCACCCCACTGGAGTAGAACTGGCATCTTCCCGTGGTGAGGGGTCTTGTCTCCTAGAGACAAACACACAATGGGATTCAGAGTTTCCTCTTTAAACCGGGAGTGGCCGGAGGCAGTTTCAGACCTGTCTGCCGTTTCCAGGCCTCTCTACAGGAGAGACGCCAAACCCAACTAATAGCCTGCCATGCAGAACACCCAGCAGGAAATGCCACACCTCGTTCCAGAGCAGCCGGCTCCTGCATCCGGGAGGCAGGTGAGTAGAGGGCCCCAGGGGAGCAGGCACCCTGTCCCCGCAGGCTGGGCTGACACATCTCTCATCAATCAGCACAGGGCAGCTGACGAGAGGGGTTGCAGGACTTTCTGAGGTGCCCTCGTACAACTCTCAACAAGTTGACCCCTTGGCTCCTGTCTCTTTCTTGGAAAGCAAAACATATTTTTTTACTAGGAAGGGAGCAAGATGAATTTCAGACTAATTTACTCATCCAGCCA